GGCGAGAACGAGGTTAGGACCACCTCGTGCAAGGAGCCATGAAGTTGCAAAAAAGATCCGTTTGCAGCTTTCTCGTTTCGTCGTTAGTCCTCATTATACGGATCCGAAGTTTGTGGAGCAGTTCCGTGCAGAACTCAAAGGTATGCTTCTATTGTTCGGCAACCTTTTGAAGCTCGACTATTCCGCTGAAAGTCGTTGAAGGGCTCATCGTAATTGTACACCGACTTTCGTGGTTCCTGATCTGAAAATGACTTGCAATGATCACAAGGAGTTTATAAGACCGGACAGTATCTCTCTTGTTTGTGACGTCAAAATGAATTCTGGCGCAATGTGGCTCGGGGGGGGGGGGCAGTCGCCGCGCGCGGCGTTGCGGCAACAGGAAATTCGTGAGCCAGGGGGAATGTAGCCAATTCAGGGGGGTGGGGGTGAGGGCAGTCACTTAGCATGCGTGAGAAGCTGGAATGTTCGAGTTACACTACATCGCTGAGCCCCCCCCCCCGAGCCACATTGCGCCTGAATTCTTTGCGTATCCTACGTTGATAAAGCGAATTTTTTCGAATTAAAAAAAGGTGCTGGCAGCCGCATAAGAATACTGCCACTCCACTGAAGCATTACCTGTTGCTACTCTGGCGGTAAATATAAGAAGAAGAAAAAACGCTGAGCAATTTATTTGGGAGGCAAGCCCGACCTTTAAATCAAACCGTATCACAACTCGGACTGCAATTTTTAGCGAATTGGCAAGTTGGCAACCTTATAAGAGGAGCCCCAGAAAAGGATACATGGAGGAAGGCCATCTCAGGAGGATTCCCTCCAAAATTCCGCAAGCCCCGGGGTTAGGCGATCCGTCGCAAGTTTCACGCGATCCAAGCGATTCACGCGATTTACGCGATTCGCGTGGATCGCAAAAATTGCAAGTGCCCATTTGAACATTTGAAACACTGAATATGAAACAAGTGGAATCATGAGCAGTCGTCATTCAGCCATCACTATCAAGCAGAAGTGGCGGCAGGATTGGAGAACACCTTGCAGTATTGATCGGGCACTTGTGATTTCCGTGACCCGTCGCGTGAATCGCGTGAAATCGCGCGAAACCAGCGAAACCTGCGACGGATCGCGGACTCTGACACCAGCCTTAGGGCGCTAATTGTTAAGAAGTTGTAACCTTCGCAACGCCCCCCCCACCGCGATTGATGTGTAGATCAGCGGGCTCTGTTTTATCTTCTCCCTCATAGTACCTTATCCG